AAAAAAAAAAAATTGTTTTTAAATACTTTCAAATCTACTACCAACTAAAGAAAAAAAGCAGTAAGAATGTCGTTTGGAAATCTCCTACAAATTAGAGATCCCTGTATTCAATATATCCGTGTTTTAATTCATGTAAAATCGTCTAATTAAGACGGGAAAATTAATTTTTTTCTTTCAAAAGTGCAGAATAGAATACTTTATTTGCGGATTTGTTAAATCAATCGAATAAATTTCAAGATTACTTTCGAACGAATCCCAAAATGTTTTTTTTATACTCTAAATGGAAATAAATTCAGTTTCTTTAGTTTTTATTTCTTCGACTCAATTTATCCCTTGATATAAAATTAATATAATGCAAAAAAAAGATTAATACTCAAAATGAAAGAAATTAATGAAAAGATAAATATTTAAAATTGCAAATTCTTTTATTAGTAGTAAATAGTATATATTAATAAATATATTAAATTTCTATTTAGTTGCGTATAAGGCTGATAGAAATCATACTCTCATTATGCGACGTGTTTTCAATTTTCACTTGCTAAAACTAATATTCAGAACTATAAATGTTTAAATGCATTTTTGAAAAGATGATGCATTAAATACATAATTGTTGTATAATTCATAGTATAAATTATAATTCATATTACAAATTCTAATAAATATTAGAAGACAATGTACTGCCTATTAAATCTGTTTGACAACAACAGACCTTGTCATTAAAAATGTAAAAAATATAGCTACGCTGTATGAATGTTAGAAAAATACTTACGTATGTGCTAACAAAATAATAAATTTGATAAAATTTATTATCAGAAAAATCTTATTGAATTTTACACGAGGAACGGAAACATTTTGTCAAATTTTACGAGGGTTAGAAACTATATTAAATTATTAAAACACGGATATATCCCAGCTACAAATATCGCATTGGCCCCTATAATTGCATCATGCCTTCGAACTTCCTTCCTTTCATAGAAGGAAACACATTTGATAAACACGGTGAATAATTTACCTCTCTTCCACAATGGTAACAATGCGGGGCGTCGAGGGCGCTGATGGTCAAGCATTGGTCCGCGCCCTCGCTGTAGAAGACACTGTCGCTACCTGGACTGACGGACCTCAACGATTCCGCTGAAAGAGCCTTCAATCTAGCCTCTGGGCTTTGCGACTCGACGATCAACGCCCGTTGTCCATTGTGTCCTGGACTACGTTGATAACGACCGGGGCTCAATCTTGCACACATTATGTCGTCCGCTGCGCGCGATCTTCTTCGTGGAAGGCTGCCGGTTATCGCAGCGTTCTTGTCCTAAATGAAGACGATCGAAATAGGATAGAAAGTTTCTCTATCGTGTTCGTTAAATCGTGATACAGCGAGAACAATCGTGGTGGTTAGAAGCTGATTCTATATGCAAAGATAAGTCTAAAGGGAAGAAAGAATCGTCATCTCTTTGCCGTGTACCAAAAGAAAATGGAACAGAATATCGGCTCGATGAATGAATGAAAACGCACGACATGATACAGGATTTTCATCAGCCAATATCTGATCTAAAGAGACAATAGTCATGGCAAGGTTCAGAATAAGTCATTGCAGACTCATCAATAAATATACTTGGTCAACAAAATTGATCCTGCACAGTGTGATCTATGCAACCAAACTTTAACAATCCAAAGTTTTCTATTTGAATGCGAGAGATACTAGATCCAGAGACAAAAGTATGGAATAAAACTATTCACAGTCTTGATACCATATAAACATGTAGTTGTCTGAAAAGATAAGATAACCAGATGGTCGATGTAAAATAATTCCAATTTTAACTAAAGAGAAATTTTCATTAAAACAAAAAGAAAAAAAAATTGAATTTGACAATTGAAGTGTGACAAATTTATTAAATCAATACAATGGTGTAAATGTTGAATCGGTCGAAACGGGACAACAGCTTGTTGTCTTCAAGGTCATCAGATCTCACTCTTTTACATTAAAGATAATGAAAATCGTTTTCAACTAAAAAATCTTATCACATAAACTTTATCACACAGACGTTCCAAAATATTTAATTTATAAAAATTTTAAATATTCAAGCACATTAACATGGAGGATTCATTGAACAAGATTTTGTCAACGATATCAAGGAAGACACTTTCAGAAATTTGTAATTAATTAAAACAAATGAGACACAGCAATTAACAGCATTCTTTATAATCATACCGAATCTTGATTAATATTTTTTATAATCACCAACGAAAATTAATTAAACTGCCTACACTACATGGTTTTTTAAATGCAAATGAATATTCAAATTTGATCTTCTCGAAAATCAAACATCATACGAAAAAATTTTACCCTCCTGCTCTGATTTATTTTTGCTTGTAAAATCATTCTCTAATCGATCGTATCACGATTTAAGAAACACGCTGTGCGTTTTAGTGCTTGATTTATGGAATTAAAACCTGAAACATCAAAATCTGTGTGCGTGTGTGAAAAAATTAGAATTGTGTTTAGATAAAAGGTTTGAACTCTAATTCTTGAATCACTACTACGTGATTTAAATGAATTTTCGAAATTATTTTTCTATCAAGTTTCCATTTGTAGGATGTAAAAATTAGCATTTTTTTTAAATTTCTGAGCAACAATCTCCACACGTCGTATAGACGTTGTTTCTCCGTCCTTTGCAAACTCCATTGTCTTTTACTACAGCATATAATTTCTTCTCATTTTATCTTTTTATTAAATTAATAATAACTAATAATAAAGAGCTGCGTCGGAAAAAAGTTCTATGCTATGATACAAGTAAATGTAGCGCGAAGCTTAAAACGCAAGATAAGAAGAAATTTAAATTTATACAGCGTCCCATTAATTCTAAGTAAAAACAAATTGGATATGTTCTTTTCAGATTATATTTATATACATGGAGAGAAAATTACGATTCGAGAATTAACTCTTAACTGATATTGGGAATTATATCGCACTATAAGTTAAATTTTGGGATTTTTAGTTTCATTTGAAATAACGTAAATGTAAATGAAAATGTTATAAATGTAAATATAATGTAACTGTAAATATAAATGTAAATGTAAATGTAAATGTAAAATTTTAACAATATATCATAAATTACAATGACCAACAATATTTGAGGATTAGTGTTTTATCGTGCAAACCTAGCAAAGGGTAGAAAAGGTAAAATGATTAAAAAAAAGAGTTTTTCCATTGTGCTCATTATTATACATTTGTTTCAATGACAGAGTTGTGAGAGTTATCAATACGTGTATATAGAAAATTAGAAATTGTGCTTGGATAAAAAGTTTTCGAATATTTAGTATTATATATCTGCCTATTAAGTATAAGTATTTAAATAATTTTTCTACAGTTTATAAAAATTAGCAATTTTTAAATGTTTTATCATGCAATTTAGGAAAGGGATGAACATAAAATAGAATTTTCAATATTCGTTATTCGAAGAACAAAATTATTTCCTTTATGTAGGATTTATTTTATGTTTTGTGTACGAGTAACGATAATAAAAAACCAGATGTAATATTGTGCAGGCGTTTGAAGTGATTGCAACAAAGTTTACATATAACATTCAAGAATTGTTTTGTAATATCTAAAGAATAGTAGATATCTTACGCTAAAAATCCACTGGTTGCCAAAAAATAATTTTTAGGTGATAATTTTAAACTGTAGAAAAAAAATAAATTTATATAGAATAAAGAAAAATAAAATCATTCTGTCCGATGGGATTATATTTGTAATATATGTTCAAAGCTTTCCAATATGCATACGTAAATTTGAAAACACATGTCAATGTGTATCCTGTCGAATAAATTCGAAAAGTGTAATTCTTCGTTGTTGCTTTAAAAATAAAAAAAAATACATGTCTTTGTACTACTACTAGTACAAAGTAGAAAAATTAATTAACACTTTGTATAATAATCTGTACACAGACAATCTTTGAAATTTTATTCTTATCTACAATTTAACTCTTAATTGATGTCATTGAGTCACTGGAAAGCATAGCAATTTAGAGCTGAATTAAATTTTTAATTTATCAATCAAATGGAGAAAAATCAAATCAAATACCCTAAGTTTTAATAATCTAATATAAATTATTTTGTTTTGAAATTTTTGAATAAGAGTGTACTAAATGTCTCCTAAATTTCTACGTAGGCACATTTTCTGATTTATTTTCAACTTAATCAATAGAATCATAACTGTGTTTCACTATAGTATTACTAAAATTTGTATATTTGTACATATAATAGATTCATAAACATAAGAGATTCCTATAAACGATTGAATTTATAATAAAATGAAATTTTAAATAATTCTAATGGATTTAAATAATCCTAATGGATACTGAAAATTCCAAATAAAACGTGTCCTAAGTCTTTTGACTGGGAATAATACATGTCCCTACCAGAGTTCCTCTCCTTCTTTGCATGCTCCAATATTAAGATAAATTAAAAGAATTTGTATAAAAATAAAAAGTACTACCACAAATTATTAAACTTCATTGAAAAAAATACTTCTACTCTTTATTTTTACTCTATTTCAATGTTAAGAAAAAAA